GGCGCTCGGCTAGAGCTTGCTCTGTTCTGGCACCTGCTGCACCCGGATGACTCCTTCCTGCGCACAGGTGACAGCCAGGACCCCGTCCCGCCGCCACAGCCGGCCCTGCACCAGTCCCCGGCACCCACCTGCGGAGAGTGGCAGTGAGAGCGCGGCGACGCTGCCCAGGGCTGGCCTGTGCCACGTGGGTGCCCAGGGAACGCGGTGAGGACTCACCAGCCCAGGGGCTTTCGCACTCGTACAGCATCCAGTGGTCCGCTCGGAAGGGCGCATGGAACCACATGGAATGGTCGAGGGACACCATGAACTTGATGTGGTACTGCCGGTGCGGGAGCAGGGCCGTGCCCAGGAAGGCATAGTCGGAGATGTAGGCAGCCACGCAGCAGTGCACCTTCATGTCAGTCTCTCCTGCAAAGCAACTGGCACTGCCCATGGCCCACGGGACCAGCCTGGGGGCGTAGCGCATGGCACAGCCCCAGGCAGGCACTCTGCTTCCCCACAGATCAGCTGCTGGCCAAGCAGAGCTGGGATGCGCTTTCAGACCCACTCCCCTCGCCGTGCCCCCCCGGGGCAAAGCCTGCCGTGCCTCAGCACGGCACGCGGGCATCGCTTCACGCTCTGGCGCCTACACCCGTACTTCAGCCTTGAAGTCCCCAGGCTGCCCCGCAGGCTCGGGGCACAGAGCGCCTCCGAAACACAACCCTCTGCCCGCTCCACTGCAGGTGTGTTCTACAGCACCAGCTCGAGCTCAAGCCCCGGCTCGCAGGCAGCTGCACCACCCTCCCGGCAGGACCCCCGCGCGCCCGCCCCCAGAAGACCTGCTTCGGCTCCTGCGGCTCCGAGCAGAACACGTCCGGCGGGTTCACAGGCTTGATGTCGATCGGCACGTCTTCGGCTTGAATCTTGTTGAGATGCTTTCTGTACCGCTCTGCCAAGTTAGGGTTCCTGGAGACCGAGGCAGGGAGGTGAGGTTAATGCCAGGCAGGCCAGGGGCACATCCTGCTGGCAGGCGGTCCCCCCCCG